CAGCATAGTAAAGGTGCCTTTGAGGTCATCCATGAGCATAACAGCTTTTACGAAGGAGATCAGCACCTTCTTTCCATGTGCCTTGACTTTGAGGTTGCCCATTATTGCACAGTCAGAGCCCAGATAGCCAAAACTTTCAAAGTACCTCTGGGTCCATGGGTAGACAACCAAGAGACTGAGGGACAGTCATAATCACAGAGCAGATGCAAAGTCAGACTATGTAAGACAATGGGCTAGTCCCTCTTTCAGAAACACATTCTGCCTTTCTGCACCTTGCCCTGGCTTCCAGTACCTACCTGCCCAGAATCTCACCTCCAGCCTTCTCACCTAAACTTGCTTCACAGGCTAGTGGCAGCAGCCTTCTCGTCAGCAGTGCAATGCACCACGGTGTCAGATCTGGGAGTTTCCTGGCGATCGTAGATGAGCCAGAAGCATACCTGCACTTCTGCTTCTTGTGTGACTTTTGTTTCTCCTCTCTGGCCCCCAGCCCTTTGCCTGTCTCAGTGAAATGAATCTATTGGTCAAGGGTGGGTTGTGACTTCAGGGGTGGAGTTTGGGCAAGGGAAGTTTTGCAAGATGGACATTCAAGTTTCTGATAGAATCCGGGTGGCCTTCTCAGGGGAACTTTGCTGTTCAGGCTTAATTTGAAACTTTACTTCTTTCCCCTCCATTTTCCTACACTACCCCCACCATCCAGTGTGCAGTTTATTTCTCAAAGTCTTCACCAGTGGCTGCTAATAACTTGAATGCTGACAAATAGGAATAAGTTAGAGCTGAAAAGGATAAGAATTACAAATATCTTAGCCATCAATTCCTGGGTCAGGAGTTGTGACAATGTAACAACGTGTTATTCATCCAGGCTTTATGTGGAAGAAGCCACAGCCTTTCTTGGTTTTCAATTCTCTTGAAACTACATTGAGTACACAATTTCATCCTCTCTCTCTCTCTCTCTCTCTGCAAGCTCCGCCTCCTGGATTCACGCCATTCTCCTGCCTCAGCCTTCCGAATAGCTGGGACTACAGGCTCCCGCCACCATGCCGGGCTAATTTTTTGTATTTTTAGTAGAGACGAGGTTTCACCATGTTAGCCAGGATGGTCTTGATCTCCTGACCTTGTGATCCACCCGCCTTGGCCTCCCAAAGTGCTGGGATTACAGGCGTGAGCCACAGCGCCCAGCCAATTTCATCACTTTTTAGAACAGAATAGAAATAAACACCTCTATCAAGCATCTATTTGGAAGAAAGCAGAATAAGAAACAAACTAGGGAAGTAAGGGGAAAACTGAGTTTTATTACCATGTTTTTAAAATCCATTTTGTAGTCAGTGTACTTATCTGAGCAAAGGAGATTTCCTCTGAATCACTCAACAATAGTCTATGTCAAATTCCACATATCTGCAAAATTATGCCAGAGCATCTAACAGTGTTGGAGTAGAAGGGTGCTGCTCTGTTCAAGCAAGAGTATAGAGGAAGTTTCCGTGGCCCGTGCTGGGCATTAGGTCATTTGTGTCTGGCACAGGCTTGATCTACAGTCTAATGCTGTAATGCTGTAATGTGTTTAACTTGTCTTTATATCTAATCAGGCAGAGACATTCTTCACTGCCAATATTCCACAGACTGCTGCACGTGTCTCAGGTGCTGCACGTCTCATGCATCTCAAACAAGCAATTTCAGGAATAGACAGGGCACGCTTCTACCAGCAGAGAGAATAACACTTTAGTTTATATTCTTAAGGCTTATTGCCCTCATACTTAGAGGTTTGGGATGCTAGTTTGTGTGTTCCCCCTGAAATAAATGCTTACAAGAAATAAAGTTTAGGAGATCATCCTCATGTGTACTTCAAGGAGACTCTAAATTTCAAAGCGTTCAATCCAATATATTAAAGCTGAATTTCTGATATTAGAGACACAGGATTTTAGTCTACTGGATATAGTTGAGAGGCAGTTATCTGTTTTACTTAGGAACATGGGGAGAGTTTGTAGTGACAAACAGAGTTTGAGGCAAAACCAATAAGATTATCTTTAAGAGCAGAGATCGATGATATGAAGAAAAATAAGTGGCAACCTTGATTATATGCAGGAAACACATTTATATTGAGTTGTGGGGACTGGCCTGAGAGGACACTTCAGGTCGTGTCCTTTAATGGCCTTGAAACTAATTCCCCACAGAATGTCTGTTCATTGCTATACCTCATATCCTTAGGTACATACATCTAAAACCCTGCATATCGGTGAACAGCTGCCCCATCTTTTTATCAGCCAACCAGCAATTCAACAGTTACTGCGAACTTCCACTTTTCTCTCATCTGCTCCAAGAAAAGTGACCTGTGATCACCTTCCTGGAAGTATTGATTCTTTCATGTTTGTGGTTGTTTTCCGTTTCCAGTTGTTTTCCATGATTATTGCTTCTAGTGTGATCTATAGACTCTTATATCATCAATACCAGGTCATCATTGCAGTTGTCAACTTCTTCCTGTTGCATTTTATGTATTAATTCAACAAGTACATATTAGGTCCCATATGTCATCCATTAAGTTTCATATGCCATCCATTTTTCTTAATTCTGAGAATCTTATATGAACTAGACAGACAGATTCTTTTGTCTAATGGTGCCCTCACTATAGTGAGTAGAGGAGATCAGCTTACATACTGAAATAAATGAATGAATAAGAGATTTCAGGTGGTATTATATGACTTGAAGAAACTGCATATTGTATCTACAGCCATCTGGTCAATGAGAAACCTGACAAAAGCAAGCAATGGGGAAAGGATTTTCAATTTAATAAATGATGGGCAGAACTAGCTAGCCATATGCTGAAAAATGAAACTGGACCCCTTCCTTATACCTTATCCAAAAGTTAAATCTAGATGGATTTGAGACTTAAATGAAAAATCCCAAACTCTAAAAAGCCTAGAAAAAAATCAAGGCAATACCATTCATGATATAGGCATGGGCAAAGATTTCATGATGAAAACATGAAAAGCAATTGCAGCAAAACCAAAAATTGACTAACGGAATCTATTTAAACTAAAGAGCTCCTTCACAGAAAAAGAAACTACCATCAGAGCGAAAGACAATCTACAGAACATGGAAAAATGTTTGCAATCTATTCTTCTGACAAAGGCCTAATATCCAGAGTAAATAAGAAACTTAAACAACTTTACAAGAAAAAAAAAATTAAAACCATGGCACACATTTACCTATAAAACAAAACTGCATATCCTGCACATGTACCCTGGAATTTAAGGTAAAATTAAATTAAATCAAAAGAAAAAAATAAAAAGAAATGACATGGCAATGTTAGGAAGTTACCCTATATGGCCTAAAAAAAGAAGGCATAAATAATCCAAAACTTGTTTAACATATCATCAAGAAATAACCATAAAAATGAACAACTAGCAGTCCTCGGGGGTGCTCTGCCTATACAATAGTCATTCTTTTATTTCTTTACTCTCTTAAGAAACTTGCTATGACTTAAAAAAAAAAAAGTGCATATTGTGAAATGGTAGTGACTGCATTTGAAGTGGGTCCTTTATGATATGATGGAGCCAGGCAGAGACTTTTGGAGAAAGAAGTTCCTGAAAGAAGGAAAGGCATGTGCCAAATTCTGAGGCTGAGGAGAAACAAAGAAAGAAAGAAAAAAAAAAGAATAAAGAACTTGACATTTCACTGTATGTAAAGACATTGCAAGGCTAGAGTAGAGCATGTTGAAGTAAAAATGAGAGAAATCAAAATTAGAGAGAAGGGCACAGGCTTATTATTTGGGTCTTACAGATGAGAGTAGTAGAGTAGGTATTTTATACTGAAACTTAGGGGACCAGGGGAGATTTGTAAACCTGAGATAAACATGGTCTCTAGTCCACTCAAACCCGAAGCTTATTTTTTTCTCCTTCCTCATCTGCCTTACTCAGTGCAAGGTGCTATAACAAAATACCAAACACTGGATGGTTTCAACAACAGAATTTTTTCTCATGTTTCTGAAGGCTGATTTGTGGTCAGGGATCTCTTCCTGGATTGCAGATGACTGACTTCTCACTGTGTCCTCACTGGGAGGAAAGAGAAATGGCTTGTCTCTCTGCTTCTGATAAGGAAATAAATTTTATGATGGGGATCTGCTCTTATGAGCTCATCTAAACCTAGTTACTTTTCAAAAGCCTCCCCTACAAATAAGGTCAGTTGGGAGTTAGGGATTCAGCATGTAAATTGTGAGGAGACAAACATTAGGTCCATAACACCATCACATTAAACTCTTACTTATACAGATGCACTAACATCCAACTATACAAAAATTCCATTGAGTAAGCCTTCCAATTAATCTTGTACAAATTCTTCCCACTACTTTTGATCTCACAGTGCTGGTCTGTTGCTCAGACACAACATGCTCATGCTGACTTGTGAGCCTCTGCTGATTCATTTCTTACACCTAAGTCCTCACCTCCCCCAGAAGCTTACAGTGAGGTCTCTTCCTGGAAATGCTGTGACCAATCTGCACACTTGAGGACATGGGATTAATCTCACTTTCTTAGGCATCCACAAGGGCTATGAAAAGCCAGGTGCCATTAGAAATAATATTCCCCCTAACAAAATAAATGCTACACCTGACTAAACCTTGACCTCCGAAAGCTTGGAACACTTTCCCTTCATTAAGAACCATCCTTATTACTCTGCTGCAATCCAACACCCAGGTCTTCACTGAAACTTTCCCCATCTCTTCCAAAACATGTTTCTGAGGAGTCTGTCCTATAGAGGTCTTTCTTCTTACCAGCTTTCTCCTGCACAATTTACCCCCAACTTGCAGAACTCCCGTGTATCAGTGTCTTTACTGCTTTGTTCTTTTATTTGCTCATCAAAATTCAAATCTCATGTAAAAATAAATGGGGAGCATGTGCACACCACAAACACACATAGCCATGCAGAAATACACATACACACATCCCTCAATATAAACCCTTTGTGGCTCATATATTTAAAAAGACATAAAAAAAGAGCTGAAGAAAATCATGTGTGATCTCTTAGCAGAATAGATTTATTATTTTTATTGCTTGCAGAATAAAGCCTATCTTTGAAAGCCCTGCATCGTGGGCAGGGGGCTCAGTGGTATCTGGAGGACAGGGCACTGGCCACTCCAGCCACCATCTTCTGCCAGGAAGCCTGCACTTCAGGGGTGAATTCTTTGCCGAAATGGATTGCCAAAACAGTCACCAGCACATTTCCCAGGAGCTGTTGAGATGAAAGGAGACAACAAAAATGAACCCATAGTGAGCTGGGAGCTCCAGCCTGGCCTCCAGAAACTACACACCCAGCTTCCACCCAGAATCAAGCCTATGTTAACTTCCCTCAAAGCCTGAGATGTTGCCTTCCATTAAATGCAGGTAGTTGTTCCCCTTGCAGCACTAGTCACAGGCCAAAATTTAAAACTTGCTGTCTTCTTGCCACCACAAACCCCGTATGTTGTAGGCTGAAAACGTTAAAAGAAACACACGCGCGCACGCGCACACACACACACACACACACACCCCTGGCTTTCAAAATCTACTCTAGCCCAAATGTTTCAATTGATCCTCACCCCTGGACACACTTTGCCCCCATCTGGAATTAGAGGATATAAGTTTGTAATGAAGTGATAGCGGCATTTTGTATGTGTCCAGCTGATATAGGAATAGCCTCAGACTCTGTTTGGTCACCAGAGTTCCCCACTTTGACTGGGCCAATATATGCCTTCTGCCTGCATCTTTTTAAAGACCATACTTGTCCTGCCTCCAGATAGATGTTTTGAAACAAATAACAAAAATGAGGGAAAGATGAAAGTTCTTTCTACCGGAATCTAATAAAGAAAAGTCATTTTCCTCATTTCCACCTCTCTTTTGTCAAAGTCAAAATTGTCCATCTAGATTTTTAGAGGCACTCCTTAGGCCCTAAAACATTACCATTGGGTCTCAGCCCAGTTAGTCCTCTGCAGTTTCTTCACTCCCAACCCCAGTATCTTCAAATAGCTCACACCCAGCAGGTAGATTCGGCTGTCCTCAGATCAATACTCAGTTGTCTAAGTTGCCTTGAGACTGAACTCTGAAACTGCTGAAACTCCTGGACTCACCCTGAAGTTCTCAGGATCCACATGCAGCTTGTCACAGTGCAGCTCACTCAGCTGGGCAAAGGTGCCCTTGAGATCATCCAGGTTCTTTATGGCATCTCCCAAGGAAGTCAGCACCTTCTTGCCGTGTGCCTTGACGTTGGGGTTGCCCATGATGGCAGAGGCAGAGGACAGGTTGCCAAAGCTGTCAAAGAACCTCTGGGTCCATGGGTAGACAACCAGGAGCCTGTGAGATTGAACAAGAGCAGTTTGACAGTCAGAAAGTGCCACAAATCCTGAGAAGCGGCCTGGACTTTTGCCAGGCATAGGGTGCTTCCTTCCCTTCCTTGTCCTGGTCACCAGAGCCTACCTTCCCAGGGTTTCTCCTCCAGCATCTTCCACATTCACCTTGCCCCACAGGCTTGTGATAGTAGCCTTGTCCTCCTCTGTGAAATGACCCATGGCGTCTGGACTAGGAGCTTATTGATAATCTCAGCCTTTCCAGAAGCGAGTGTGTGGAACTGCTGGAGGGTGCTTCCTTTTATTCTTCATCCCTAGCCAGCCGCCGGCCCCTGGCCTCACCTGATACTCTAAGACTATTGGTCAAAGTTGCCTTGTCAAGGCTATTGGTCAAGGCAAGACTGGCCAACCCATGGGTGGAGTTTAGCCAGGGACCGTTTCAGACAGATATTTGCATTGAGATAGTGTGGGGAAGGGGCCCCCAAGAGGATACTGCTGCTTAATTTTTTTATAGCCTTTGCCTTGTTCCGATTCAATCATTCCAATTTTTCTCTAATTTATTCTTCCCTTTAGCTAGTTTCCTTCTCCCACCATAGAAGATACCAGGACTTCTTTTGTCAGCCTTTTTTACCTTCTTGTCTCTAGCTCCAGTGAGGCCTGGAGATTAAAGTTCAAGCATGTACCAATTTTTGAAAAGTTCGGGGATTGTGACATGTGTTTTAGGCATAGGTCCAGGATTTTTGATGGGACAAGTCTTAGTCTCATTTAGTAAGCATTGTGCTATACTTATCTTTGAAAATACTCTCTGTGGTTTTAGGCCATTATCTCTTAAGTTCTCAATAGTGCAGTGAAAATAATTCCTATAAAGCCAGTTTCAGTGCAGTGATAGATTAGTGTTATGTAATATAAGACCTAATCCTTACCTCAATATGTACTTATCTGTACCTATTTGAAATAAATCATGCCTGTTTCATCTTAGAAAAAATATTTGATTCCATATTCAGGATGTATATATATACCATATGATGTGTATTTATCACTGGGTAAGTGTGTGTGCTGGCTGATGACCAGGGTTTTGGTGTAGCTTTTTTATGCTCAGTAAAGATGATGGTGGAATGTTCTTTGGCAGGTACTCTGCATTAGAATTAATTATCTTGTATAGATGCTAGGTTCACTTCTCAGGGAATCTTATTCTAAGACATAAGACATGTGTGTGCACGGAAAACAACTCTAGAGAAGCAAGGGCTGTTTTTATTGGCTAATAGTCCACACACTATGACAACTCGAATATCAGTGTACTTTAGACAGCTTTATTTCTAACGCAGTGCTGTTTCTGACATATTGGACCGTTAACAGGGTAAGAAGTATTTCTGCTGGTTTTTTGGTTCTGTTTTGCTTTTGGTTAGTTTGTTTTTGTTTTTCTCTGAAAGTGATCCATGATCTCAAACCTTGCTAGATTATGCCAGAAGCTCTGGAATTCTGGCTTATTGGAGGTGAGCTGCATCTTCAAATTAGTTTATCCCCTAAGCTATCAGGTTGATTGAAATTGGTGAAATCCTTTCAGCCTTCATGATCCTGTGTAAAGATTATACCTGTTCGTTGATAAAGATGGCTAAAAGGCCAGAAAGGTACACATTTGCCCATGTAACAAGCCTGCACATCCTGCACATGTACCTTGGAAATTAAAATGAAATGAAATAAAATTAAAAGGAAAAAATGCCATGGCAACATCAGGAAGTTATCTTTTATGGTCTAAAAACGGGCAACATAAATAATCTACCCCTTGTTTAGCATACTATTGAAAAATAACAACAAAAATCGGCAACGAGCAGCCCTTGGGGCTACTCTGCCTATGAAGTAGCCATTCATTTATTCCTTTACTTTAATTTTTTATAAACTTGTTTTACTAAAAAAAAAAAAAAAGAAACAAGAAAGAAAGTGCGAATTGTAAAATGGTAGTGAGTGATAGCATTTGAAGTGGGTCCTTTATGGTATGATGGAGCCAGGCAGAAGTTGTTTAGAGAAAGAAGTTCCTGAAAATAGGAAGGGCATGTAGAAAACTGTGAGGCTGAGGAGAAAAACGAAAGAAAGAAATATAAAGAAAGAACTTGACATTTCACTGTATATAAATACATTACAAGCCTAAAGTACATTGAAGAAAAAATAGGAGAAATCGAAGTTAGAGAGAAGGGCTCAGGCTTACGACTTGGGACTTACAGATGAGAGTAGTAGAGTAGGTATTTTATACTGAAACATAGGGGACCAGGGGAGATTTGTAAACCTGAGATAAACATGGTTTCTAATCCACTGAACACCCAAGCTTATTTTTTTCTCCTTCTTCATCTGCCTTACTTAGTGCAAGGTGCTATAACAAAATAGCATAGACCGGATGGCTTCAACAACAGATTTTTTTCTCACATTTCTGCTGGTTCCTGGTCAGGGTTCTCTTCCTGGTTTGCAGATGGCTGACTCCTCACTGTGTCCTCACCAGAAGGAAGAGAAATGGCTAACCTCTCTGCTTCTGATGAGGAAAATAATTCTTTGAGAGCGATCTACTCTCATGAGCTCATCTAAACCTAATTACTTTTCCAAAGCTTCCCAGACAAATGGGGCCAACTGGGAGTTGGGGATTTAGCATGTGAATTTCCTGGAGACACAAGCATTAGGTTCATAACACCATCACATTAAACTAAACACTCGCTTATAAACATGCATTAACTTTCAATTATATAATAATTCCAGTGAATCTGCCTTCTCAATTAATGTTATACAAATTCTTCACACTACATTTTCATCTGACAGTGCTGGTCTGCTGCTCAGGCATGACACTATGATGCTGACTTGTGAGCCTCTGCTGGCTCATTTCCTTCACCTAAGTCCCCATCTCCCCTAGAAGCTTAAATGAGGTCTTTTCCTTGAAATGCTGTGACTTAAGGGCATGGGATTAATTTCACCACTTTAGGCATGCATCAACACTTAAAACGAAAAGTTTCTTAGTAAAGTAAGGATCACTTCATTGCAGTTACTGTGGAAAGAAAAATCTGTTTCCTGCTCTGATCTCTAACACCTCAACCTCCCCATAGAGCCTCACAAGGACTGAGAAAAGTCAGATGCCATTAGAAATAGTATTGCCCCTAATAAAATAGAATGGCTATCCCTGCCTAAACCTTGACTTCCTAAATTTGGAACAGTTTGTCTTCGTTGAGCCCCTTCCTCGCTGCTGTGCTGCAATCCAGCCCCCAGGTCTTCACTGAACCTTTCCCCATCTCTTCCAAAACATCTGTTTCTGAGGAGTCCTGTCCTACAGAGGTCTTTCGTCCCAACAGATTTCTCCTACACTTTTTATTCTCACTTGCATAACTTCCATGTACAAGTTTCTTTATTGTCTAGTTCTTTTAATTGCTCATCAAAACCCACATCTCATGTAAACAAAAAAGTGAGGAATATGCACATGACACTAACACACACAGCCATGTACAAATACACATACACACATCCCTCAACATAAAACCCTTTGTGGCTCATATATTTAAAAAGACATTAAAAAAGAACTGAAGACAACCATTTGTGATCACTTAGCAGAATAGATTTATTATTTTTATTGCTTGCAGAATAAA